GGGGGGGACAGGACGGGGTGCATGGGGGGGCCTGGGCCTGAGGAGGGCCTAGGCAAGCTCTGGTCCACTTCCTTGCAGATGCTCTTCTCAAAGTTCCCGGATCCCGCGGGCAAGCTGAGCCAGTTCCGGAGGAACCTCCGGGAGTCACGGCAGCTGCGATGGGATGAGAGCTGGGAGCAGACCGTGCTTCCTCTCCTGATGGACCGGTGAGTCCTGCTCGCTGACACCGGGCAGCGCCCCCCAGTGGCCAGGAGGCAGAAGGACAACAGCAGGAGCAGCCCTTCTTGTAAGGACAGGAACCAGGGGCCGCCCTGCTGCTGGGAGACTGGGAACCCCCTCATTGCTCTCAGGGCCGCTGCCCCGGCCGGCTTCCTTCTCCGGACCTCAGCGTCTCACCCCCCTGCTCGTCTCCTGACCTCAGCGTCTCACCCCCCTGCTCGTCTCCTGACCTCAGCGTCCCACCCCAGCGTCCTCCTCCTGCAGCGTCAACACAGGAACACGTCGTTCTGCCACGGCCTGGCTCTCAGGGGCTGGGAGTTCAGGGACCGTCACACTTGATACTGGGAGTTCAGGGACCGTCATACTTGATACTGGGAGTTCAGGGACCGTCATACTTGATACTGGGAGTTCAGGGACCGTCGTACTTGATACTGGGAGTTCAGGGACCGTCATACTTGATACTGGGAGTTCAGGGACCGTCGTACTTGATACTGGGAGTTCAGGGACCGTCGTACTTGATACACATTTTCATTTGCGCAAAGGAAAGGTGCTCTGTGGCTTTCTTGAGCCTGAAATGGTGCACGTTTGAGTCGAGCAAGGCCGTGGGTCCCGGAGTGGAATGGAACATTCCCCCAGCGTTCAAGCCCAGGGACAGCACTGTCAGCGTTTCCACGGGAGCTGTCTTCCCACGCTGCCTGCGATCCTGATTTCTCACCATGTCCGGGAAGGGAGCCTACAGCGCCAGCTTCAGAATCACCACCTCCCACTGCTCCTCGTAAGGAAACAGAGCCCGGTCGTGAGGGGGCACCACCTCCCAGCGGATCCCGGCCTGGCCTGCAAACAGAGCACACGCGTCACAGGATGCGGGTGTTTAGGGACGGACTGCCGGTCTGATGGGCTCAGACTGCCAGGCCCACCCCAGAGCCTAGCACCAGGAACCTGCGACACCAGGAACCTGTGTTCTTGTCAGCAGTGGCGGGCAGCCGGGGGCAGCCCCCGCTGACTTGGTGCAGGCTGAGAAGGCCTGGGATCTGACCAGCATCTGCCTGGCTGCTCAGGACGCTGGCGGCCATGGCGTCCTGCCGCGTGTTGACCAGTGCAAGGACGCCAGCCAGGGCCTCTGCGTTTCTGCCATGAAGGAAGCAGTAAAGATGTGAATGTGTACAGGTCCGGTGTGCCGTGTTAGCTTGTCAGCTGGGAGTGGGCCGTGTGGAACTTTCCTGCCACGGCTGAAGGAGAACCACACTGCCTGCACCTGCTCTGCGGCACGGGGTGACCGCACGTGGTCTGTCCACGGCTGCCCTGGCCTGCGGTAGGTGGTTTTGGGTGGGGTGGGTGTAGCCTGGCTGCCAGCTTGTCCCACTGTTGGTGCACTGTACGTGCCACAGCGTGCCTGGCGAGCAGTCCCTGTGTGCCTGGCACTATCCTAGCAGTCAAAGCTCCCCTGGAGGCAAGTGTCAGCTGTGCTTGGTGGTGCCCGGCACACGGGAGTGCTCGCCAGGCACGCTGTGGCACCGTACGAGTGCACCAGCACTGGGGTGGATGTCGCCCGAGGCGGAGAAGGCAGGACCCTGAAGGGCAGGGAGAGTGAGGGCCCAGAACCCGGTAGGCCTGACCCTGACCCTGACGGCCCCTCCCACTGCCTGCATGTTCACAACCTGCTCTGGTCTCCGGGATCACTGCCTGGCCCCTGCCTGCAGGGCCTCCTGGCTGTGCCCCAGGGTCCCTCTTCTTGGCCATGTCTGCCTTGCTGGCGTCCTGTAGCCAGGGGCTCACCTAGCTGTGCAGTGAACAGCTGGGGTGTTTCTGGGTTGCGGACGGTGGAGGCCACGTAGACGTCGGGAGCCTGTTGTTCCTTCCGGCAGCCCGAGAGCCTCCGCAGGAGCCCGACCAGTGAGAGGACGGCGTCTGGGCAGTACAGCACATCTGGGGGGAGGGTTCAGGTTACTGGGGTGCACGGTTTTATTAACCATGAGCTACAGATGGAGAAAAGACCTGCTGCCACTCACAGGGGTTCTTTAAGGAATGCTTCCCTGCCCCTGGGCCTAGAGGGAGTGTCTTAATGAGGCAGGGCCTCCTCTGACTTGCTGCCTGGGACCTGCTGGTGTTGGCTGTGGGTGGCATGCGCTCATCGGTCTCTGTCAGCCAGGCCTGCAGGGGCTGTGGCCCTGGCCACTGTGGGGCCCAGGACCAGAGGCCCAGCTCTGCTGAGGCGGAAAGGGGAACTGAGTGCGGCAGCAGACACAGGGCCCTTGGTGGCCCAGCCGAGCACCACCTGGCCCCCTCCTGCGACCTGTAAGACTCAGGGTGTAGGGCAGACGTGTGGGTGGGGACAGCCAGGGCCACAGGGCTGCACAGGTGCGTGGTGACAACAGCATGAGCACAGCCACGTGTGGGACAGGCGATGCCAGTGTGGATGGGTGGGGGCCGCTGGGTGCCGGCAACCTGCTGAGGACAGGCGCAGCCCTGGTGGAGCCGCGATGCTCTTTAGGGCCCCAGGACCGCGGGGGGGCTGCCACGCCCTTTCCTGCCCGCATCTGAAGTCTGGGGTGGGCGCAGGCGCAGGCGCAGCCTTGTTGGATGCCTGGTGGTGAATGCTGGCATCTTGGGCCTGGCCCTCGGCTCTGTGATGGGCAGCTGTGCTCTGCCGTTCAGGTCACAGACAGCAATGCAGGCGCTGCCCTGGGGCTGCCGAGACGGCCTGGAGCCTGTTCTCACCTCTAGCCTTGCTGGGAAGAGCCGGGGCCTGGTGGCCGACACGGCAGCCCTAACGGGAGTTGGCCCGTCTGCAGAGAGGGGGCTGTGGTCTCAGGGAAGCGGAGGCCCCATCACTCCCCCACCCGTGGCTGGGTGGTACCTGCGGCGATGACCACGTCTGGCTGGAAGGCAGAGAGCTGCAGGTCCGTGGCGACGTCCCAGTCCAGCTGGGCCACGGTGACCGCGGGGTGCCGGGGGTCTGCGGTCATGTCTGGCTCCAAGGAGAAGCCGTTGAGAGCAACGTTCTGGCGGAGCTGCTCGAGGACGCGGCTGTGACAGTCGCTGAAGACGAACGCTCTGGGGTGGCACGTCCTGCAGATGGCCAGGCCCGTGAGGCCGGCCCCGCTGCCCAGCTCCAGGACGGTCCTGGTCGGGGAGGGGATCGTGTCTGTGACTGGGCCCCGGCAAACCCGCCTCTCGCCTGCCCGTGTCCCAGGCTCACCTGTGAGCAAAGGCTGCTGGGTTCTGCACGGCCCATTCTGCCAGGTACAGGGCGGCGTCCCACGTGACCAGGCCTGTGGTGCCGTGCGCCACGATGGCGGTGCTCTCCGTGAGCGTGACCGCATCTCCAGAAGGCTGCACCAGGAGAGGGCGGGGACAGGGAGTTAATTGAGCCGTCGGGGCGGGAGCTGGCGGTTCACAGAAATCACGGCACGGCCACACCTCGGGATGCGCGGTGGCAGTGCGAGGAGTGACCCGCTGGCTCCAGAACCAACCCAGAACCAACCCAAGCAGCGTGGACGGGTCTCGAGGGCTATGCGAGCTGAGCAGCCAAACTCGGGCTGCTGCTGGTTAGACCGGAGAAGCACTGAAGGAGCGCACGCCCACCGAGACGCTGACCCAGAGCGAGACCGAGACAGGTGAGCCGACGAGGACGGAGACTCCAGTGGCGAGGAGTGGGCATTGTGCATTCGGCAACACCGACTGCCGGCCTGAATGTGGCAAGGATGCGCCGCCTCCGGCGCTGGCCTTAGGGACCCCACCGGAGAAGGGAGGACGTCAGCAGAGCGCAGCGTGGGTGACTCGCCTGTGGAGCTCAGGCTGAGCCCTCAGAGCCACAGGGAGGGCTGCAGGAGGGACAGCGGCCCTCAGAGCTGCCCGTGCACACAGCGCGCGGCACAAACACTCCCAAGATGTGCACACGTAAGGCTACAGAAAACCAGATGGGGACGCTACCCGTGTCACGAGCCCTTAAACATGGCTGCTCGGGTCTGAGAGGTGGGAGAGATCTGGAGTGGGAGCAGGGTCTGACCTGCCGCTGCTGGACTGTGGGGCGGTACCTTCTGGAAGCTGAGAACACCCCTTGGCCAGGAGCCAGCAAGGAAATGGAGGTCAGTGCCAGGCCGCCGGAGGCTGAACTCCGATGACCTGGATGTGCCCGAGGGCCTTGCCGTTACCTGGATTTTGGCCTTGGAGGAGTGAAAGCAGCCGCACCCGCCCCACGTCTGAGCTGCACAAACGCAGGACAGTTAAGCGTACGTTGCTGTAAGCAGCTGAGTTTGAGATAACGGTGTGGTAATGTGTTCTGACTGCAGCACGACAGGGTGATGGCTCTGTGGTGACAGTGTGGTTACAGCGCGGCCCAGGCAGCAGGGTGAGGGCACTTGGGGACAGGATGGGCTGGCGCTCCGGGATGCTCCAGGGGCAACGGCACAAAGCTAGTGGGCAGCGATGAGCTGGCCCGACTCCGTCACATGCTCTGCTCCCAGGGGCCAGCTTGTGCTACATAGGTCCCAGAGGAGCAGAGTAACCCGGTCACCCGCCTGTGCCTTACAGCAGCCGTCTCTCACAGCAGCGTCACCGTAAGACGCCCAGACGTGGCCCTCCCATGCTCCCTGCTATGCCCCAACACCAGGGGCTCGAACTATTTCCCGAAAGAACCCAGAGCTTCTGGAAGAAACAGCTCTGCTGCAGGAGACACACAAGGGGAGTCGGGAAGTGCGATGGGGAACACAGCAGGAGATCCGGCAGGGCGACGGCAGACTGAAGCCGGATGGCCCCGGCTCACTCTCCTGAGGACGGGCAGAGGCCAAGCATCCAGCCTCAGCCCCGCCTTCCTGTGTGAGTGGCACCCCTGGGTGAGACGGGGGATGCAGGCAGGCAGCTCCTGGTGCTTCCTGCAGCTGATGTGTGAAGACAGCAGAGAACCCGAAAATCACCCTGAGCGCTCCCTGCGCTTGGGAGTCTAAGCCGATTCCGCCTGGGGCAAACGAGAAACGCCTTGGCTCCCAGGACCCCAAACCGTGCTGCTGCCGGAGGGCGCAGGTGGACACGCGTCAGCATGTGGGGCCGAGCGGGGAGGAACAGGCTGACGGCACCGTGACCACGCAGCCAGGAGGCGGCCCAGGCCTTCAATGAGGCGAGCTCAGGAAAGAAAGTGCCGGAAGGAGACGTCAGACCACGCCTGGTTCACAAGCAGACACGGGTGAGGGAACCACGAAGAAATGGAAGGGTGTGAATCCTCTAATGGGCAGGCCAGCAGGGGCTGGTGCTGGGCGGGGGCCCGATGCCCAGGCTCTGTTCCTCAGTAGCTGGGTGACTCAAGCTGTGTGCTTCTCTGTATCCACACTGTGTTTTGTAACAAAAGATCAAAGCCAACAATGAAAACCACGATCTGACCAGCTGTGACAAGAAGCTGGAATCCCAGGCACTGTCCAGGGCCAGGACGGTAGTGGTGGACGCGGGAGAGCCTGTGTCTGGTTCTGCCCGTCCCTCGGGCACCCACCGTGTGGGAGCTACGTCAGAGCCCGCAGCCCCCCAGCACAGGCCTGGCGGGGGAGGCTCGCGGACAGCAGACCCCGCCCAGGCCGCCGGGAGCCCGGGTTTTCACTGCCTGAGGGGGCAGGTGCACGACTCGTACCAGCAAGTAGCTCCGGTGGCACTGCGTGGACTCCTCGGTGGCCAGGACCTCCGCCAGCGCCTCGTACAGCTCGTCCAGGGGCTCTGCGTGCACAGCCTCGTGCTGGGTGGACAGTGACAGCCTCAGCTGAGAGCAGGAAGCTGCCCGCCGTAAACGAGCCGCAGTTTGCTCCGCTGTGACCTGAGAAACTGGCTCATGGAAACCTCCCCTGGGGGTGGGGCTACTCACAGGTGTGAGGGCCCAGGGCTGGGCAGGTGCACACCTGGGCTTCCCTGAGTACCAACAGGGAGACCGGTGGCAGCTGTGAGGAGAACCCTGGGCAGGGGCCGCAGGACGGGCTGCCCGGGACAGGGTGTGGTTTCCACCTCAGTGGGCAGCCGCTGGGGGGCAGGGATGACTTTGCTCAGCCTGGGTGAGGTGTGGCCCCATGTGGGTGGTCACAGCACATCCTGGAGGGGCCCTGAAAAATCGCCTGACGCCTGCCCAGTGTCCAGCCAGCTCGCCCTTCACTGTCGCCCCACGGTGGTTAGAAGAGCGGCAGTGCCAGGGAGCTCAATGGGGAGAACTGACCAGGGGACTGCTCTGAGGGTCTTGCAGGAGCTGGAGCCACCCACGTGGGCTGGCGGCAGCCCAGCGACGGGCAAAGGCAGAGAGCCGGGCAAGCCCACTGGGCTGCAGGACACGGGGAGAGTGGGCGGGGCCCCAGAGAGGCAGCTGCTGCAGAGAGCCCTGGGAGCAAGGAGGGAGAAGTGGCTGGGCCTCTCCCCTCTCCTGCCCTGCACTGCCTCGCACAGATCCACCCCGCTGGCCGCACTGTCCAGAGAGGCCCCTACCACACACAGGTTTGGGCAGAGGGCAGAGGGCACAGGCCGAGCGCCCCTAGACAGAGCCAGCCAGGCCCTGCCAGCAGCCTGGCCGCGAGTGGACACTGCCAGCACTGACCTTTCTGATGAGCTCCGAGAGAAAGCGCCGGACGTAGGTCCCCGACGGCGGGTGCTTCACACACAGCGGGTGTCTCGCGGTCTATGAGAGGCCAAGCAGTTAGGGCGGGAGAGCCCCAGTCTAACGCCTCCAGCGAGGAGTGGGCAGCGGATGCCCTCAGGCACTTGGAGGATTCAGTCCTGAAGCAGTCTGCTCCCCGCCCAGGTTGGGGCAGCGTGCCTAAGCCCCTCCCCAGGCAGGAACCAGGCGTGAAAGGACCCGCGCCCCCCCAACCTCTCCCGGGGCAGCCGCGGCAACCAGAGTGTGTGGTGAGGACAACGTGGGACCCTGGCTCCAGGGGGAGGTCCCAGCCCCTCCGTGGGCTGCTGTCCCAGGCCAAGGAGGAGCGGTGAGGAATGCTGTGATCCAGGAGCAGCCGGGGACAGGCTGGGGGACAGGCTGGGGGACAGGCTGGGGCCCCGCCCGGTGCGGGCTCCGGGAAGAGCGGAGAGCAGGTGCAACGTTGCAGGCAGGGGACAGTGGGGGCACGCCAAGGTGGCTGTCACCGGCACTCTCAGAGGCGACTGGGCAGGTGGAGTGTGTGAGGAGGGGTGGCTGCTGGTACTGGCGGGGGACGCTGAGGGCCGTGCCCCAGGGCGCAGTGTCGGCCCTGCTACCAGGAGGCTCCGGGTGCTTACCCTCTGCACGAGATCCAGCAGCAGCTTCGACCCCGACGGGCCCCTTAACTCCTCTTCCAGGCTCTGTTTGGGGAGGGAGGGAGAGAGCGAGAGAGCGCGCGCTCAAGGGCGAGTCGTGGGGCCACCAAGCACACACTGCAAGCTGCACTGCCCCCACCCCCCGCAGCGCAGTGGGGACCTCCCCCTGCCCCCCCAGCTTTGCCCTGGGCCCTTTCCTCATTTCCCACTCTCCGCTCCTGGCCTCCTGAGATGTTTGCAGGGGACGGCGGCCCCCACGGAAAACACGGGGTCCCCGGCGGAAACACTACCAGCAACCCTGCAACAGCCTGCCGGGCGGGGTCGACGCGAGCAGTCTCTGCGGTCTCAGTACTCGCCTCCTCCCTAAGTACCCCCGGTCACCCGTGAGCGCCGTGGGTGAGCTCGGCGGGTCCCGACGGGGCGGGAAGGCGTGGTCCGCCTGCCGAGCTCATCCCCCAGTGCCGCGGGCTCGCGCGCAGCTGGCCGCCCAGGTGCGCAGCTCCCGGGGGGAGCCGCGTCCGGCGACCTCCGCGGCCAGCTCGCGCGGCGAGATGCAAACAGGGCAGGGGCGCGGAGCCCGAAAGGGAGGGGAGCCGAGCCGAGCCGAGCCACGCCACGCCACGCCACGCCACGCCACGCCACGCCACGCCCTCGGACCGGGACCGGAGCCACAGCCGCCACGCGAGCGCCGGGCCGAGACCCGCCCCTGCCCCGCCGCCCGCACGCCCCGCCGGCCTCGCCCGCGCTTAAGCCTCCCACCTGCCACGGGAAGGAGCGCAGCGCACGCGACGCCAGGAAGCGGCGCTCGAAAGTCTGCAGCAGGCGCTCCGTGCCCACGCGCTCCTCCGGCGCCATGGCGGGGGCGGGGCCGCGGCGTTGCCGGGAGACCGGGCGGAGCCTAGAGGAGGCGGGCCTGGGGCGTGGGCGGGGCCAGCGAAGCGCGTCGTCGGGGCGGGGCTTTTGGGGCCGTGGGGAGGCGGGGTGTGGGGAGGATGAGGCCAATACATTCTGGAGGCGGGGCTTAGGTCCAGGCGGGGCGTGGAGTTTGGGGGCGGGGCTTCTGGCAGGTTTCTGGAGGCGGGGCCAGGAGGTGCTTGCGTCCTGGGGGTGGGGCTTGGGGTGGAGCGGCGAGGAGGGGCCTGTGCCCTGGGGGCGTGGCCATGGCGAGTGCCGGACCCTGGGGCGCGGTGGAGCTACAGTCCGAGGCCCTGGAGGTCGGGCCGGGTTCGCGTCGGCCCGCGCGGGGCGGGAGGTCTCCGTGGGGGCGCCCAGTGGGTCCCAGGCCTGCGTGGGCGTTGCCGCTACGCCTGCCGCTTCGGGAGGGTCTTCCCGGCGGGGACGCGCGCGGGGGTCAGGAGCTGCCCACCCCCGCCTCGTCCCCGGCTCTGCAGCCGAGGACCCATCGGATCCTGTCTGAAGCGTCGCTGGTTTCTGGGGCGTGTTGCAACGTAGGGGACATTTTTATACTTCGGATGTGAGTTGTGTTCATGTGGACTTTCTGGTGGGGTTTAAGTGAACTCCAGCGTCCCTTGGGCAGTGGTCAGGGGCCCCTGCTGCCAGACCAGAGTTTTAACTTCAGCAGAATGGTCGGAGCGGGTGGGATGGGAAACCCCGAGGCTCCGTCTGATGCCTGGGCCGTCTGAGATGCGGGAACAGGTGCACCACGGCTGTGCCCGTGGGATGCTTTGGGGGCGAGAGGACCAGTGTAGGGGTTACGCTGCGGCCCCTAGAAAGGTAAGTTGCAAGTCCTGGTCCCCCCACCCCCAGCTAGGAATGTGGCCTCATTTGCAAGCAAGGCTCTGCACCTGCGGTCAGTTAAGATGAGGTCATCCTGTTGTGTCTGAGTGAGCGCCAGCCACACTGACAAACTTTGGAGTCTGTTGCTGGCGTTCTGCAGTGAGCTCATGCCCAAAGAACTCTCCACCCCGAAGCCCAAAGCAGCAGGGTTTATAAAGGCGGGAACCACAAGGACCGGAGGGGGATACACGGTTGTTAGGGTCAGGCTGACCTAAGGCCTATGCGGAAACTAGTGTCCAGTACAATCTTAACACACCAATTACATTCAGAACCTGAAGCATACGGGAAACTAAAATTAATTACAATATAGCACCGGCGCCGTGGCTCAATAGGCTAATCCTCTGCCTTGTGGCGCCAGCACACCGGGTTCTAGTCCCGGTTGCCCCTCTTCCAGGCCAGCTCTCTGCTGTGGCCCGGGAGTGCAGTGGAGGATGGCCCAAGTGCTTGGGCCCTGCACCCGCATGGGAGACCAGGAGAAGCACCTGGCTCCTGGCTTCGGATCAGTGTGATGCGCCGGCCGCAGCGGCCATTGGAGGGTGAACCAACAGCAAAAAGGAAGACCTTTCTCTCTGTCTCTCTCTCACTGTCCACTCTGCCTGTAAAAAAAAAAAAAAAAAATCACATGTGGAACAAATTGCAATTTTATCATTAATTCCAGGTGCAGCCTATCTGCTTTTAACCTTGAGCGACCTTGCTAGGGAGTTCCGATGCTCTGCCGAGTGGGACGCAGTGCACTGTTATTGTGTGAGTTTTAGACATAGTTAGTTTCAGACCAGAGTCTCACGGTGGGGACCCTGCTGTCAAGGTGTCACTGCAATGCTAGATTGCGGGAGGGCTCTGAATCCAGCGTTTGGTGTCTCTGTAGCAGACGGGGAGCCCTGGGAAGGCCAGGGCACGGGAGAAGAGGGCCCTGTGATGATGGTGGGAGTGATGTGACAGCACCCCCAGGAGCACCGGCAGCCCAGAGCCAGCAGGAAGGCCAGACAGTCCCGTGCGGGTTTCAGAGGGAGCAGGTCTGTGTGACGAAGTCTCCGTTGCTCTCAGCCACCCCCTTTGTGGCGTTTCCCGTAGCCCTAGGAAATTACTACAACTGGGACGTGCGTGAAGTGGGGATGCAGGGCCTTGGTTAAATGATCAAGAATTTCAGAGCGGTGACAACCGATGGTTAGCTCTGGGCTCCAGGACACTGTCCAGGAGGCTGCTGTGGCCCGGGATTCTCCTGTGCTGCCCTAGGGGGCAGGAAGTGGTTCGCGTGGGCTGTGCCCGTGTCTGACCACCACCCCAGGATGAGGGATGGCGTCTGCCCTGGCCACGCTGAGCCCGACTTCTGCGTTTCCCTGAGCAGACGCCCTTGGTGTCTCTGATGCCGTTAGGAAGCCAGAGGGTTTTTAATGAATTGTCTGATGATTAGGGGGCTGCAGTGACTGCTCCTGGGTCCCCGGGGAAGTCTTGCACAGGCACTCGTGAATATTAATTATGGAAGTTAAATGTACATTGAACCCCAGAAAGTGCTCACTATAGAAAATCTCACAGTGCAAGTCCTTGAAAGCTGATTTCCTAAACGTCATTTCTGCCAAATGACCCATTTGCCTAACGACCACTTTGCCAAATGACCGACTTGCTAGAACCCAATTTGCTGAGAATTGGATTGTGGGATGTCCTGGTTATCGGTTGCTGTCTGTCAAACCCCTCCCCACAGGCTCCTGTGGGAAATGGGACAGGAATAGGGGTGACAGAGCTGAGCAGAACTCTCCTTTTTTTTTTCTTGGAGATTTATTTATTTATTTGAAAGGCAGAATTACAGGGAGGCAGAGAGAGAGAGAGAGAGAGAGAGAGAGAGGTCTTCCATCCATTGGTCCACTCCCCAATTGGCCGCAACAGCTGGAACTGCCGATCCGAAGCCAGGAGCTTCTTCCGGGTCTCCCATGTGGGTGCAGGGGCCCAAGGACTTGGACCATCCTCCACTGCTCCCCCAGGCCACAGTAGAGAGCCAGATCAGCAGGAGGGCAGCCGAGACTCAAACCAGCACCCACATGGGATGCTGGCACTGCAGGTGGTGTCTTCACCAGCTTTGCCAAAATGCCGGCCCCTCCATTTTTTAATTTTTAAAGAGATTTATTTGAAAGGCAGAGTTATAGAGAGGCAGAGGCAGAGAAAGAGCGAGCAAGAGCGAGAGAGTGAGCTCTTCTGTCCTCTGGTTCACTCCCCAAATGGCTGCAATGGCTGGACCTGGGCTGATCTGAAGCCAGGAACCAGGAGCTTCTTCCGGGTCTCCCATGTGGGTGCAGGGGCCCAAGTACTTGGGCCATCTTCTACTGCTTTCCCAGGCCATAGCAGAGAGCTGGATTGAAAGTGGAGCAGCCGGGACTTGAACTGGCACCCAGAACTGGCACTGCAAGTGGTGGTTTTACCCGCTACAGCACAGCGCTGGCCCCTGTAGCAGAACTCTTAAGCCCAGAAGGAAAGCACTGTAGTGACTTGGTGAGTTGGCCATGCGTTTGATTCCTCTTCCGCAGGACGAGCTGCTCCCTGTAAATTCAGGGGAAGATCTGTGGGCGGGAGGTAGCTTGGGAGCGGGGGAGGCTGGGGCAGGCCCCCGGTTCTGCGTGTAATTGCTCTAAGCACTCCATCCGTCACCCGAGGGTACCCGAATCCCTCCTGGCCTGGGTTTGTAAACAGCCGGCGAAGGAAAGGTGGCACCAGAGTCCCAGACAGGATCCCGCTCTTCTTTGTGTCACCCAGATTTAGGGTTTTGACGGCTCAGGAACTCCACGCCCACGCGGGACATCGGCACCACAGGCAGAGACCTAGGCCGGCCTCAGCGATTCCAGCTGTGAAATGCGGAGGAGCCGGCGGGAGCTTTGGGAGGCTTACGCGGGGGCGGGCAGGAGGCGCGCCTCTTTTTGCTCCCCCCATGAGGAGGGGCGAGCGGGGTTCGCCCACCCCACCTCGGTCTGTGCCCCGCACCTCTGCAACTGGTCCCTGTTTCAGGGGTGTCGACGCCTTAGGATCCACAGGTGGGCGTGGCTCTGGCCCAGCCAATCAGAGGACCCCGCGTCCCCAGGCCAGGGCCGCTGGTTCAGCCCGGGTCCTGGGTCCCAGTCAGTGCCCCTGTCGGGTGTTCTGTTGGGGGTCGTGGAGGGCAGAGGCTGCCTTGCTTGTTCCAACTCTGATGCCGAGGGGTCCAAGGAGAGGGCTTGTGAGATGTCGGGGGTATTTGCAAGAAGGGGAGACTGGCATCTCCGGGCACGAGGCTCCCGGCTCGCCACCACTCCCCATCCACCTCAGTTTGCTCCTCTGTGAAGTGGGGATGGGACACCTGCCAGGTAGAGAGATACCTGTGGGCACGTGCCTTCAGTGTGCACCTGGCCTCTCTTCGGTGACAGTGAGCATCATGTGATGTGGCACAGCCAGGGCAGGAGGGCGGGGTTGCTTCCCTCCACTCCTGACAGCCCCGGCAGATGGATCCGGAATATTCCTGCACACCCCAGAGGTGGGGACTACAGAGCAGACGGCTGCGGTGTGAGGCCGGGAGTGGCGTCATCGGAGGGGTGGCTGCACTGCTGACAGCCGCGGGAGCAGGGCCAGCATGGCAAGGGCCTCGGGTCAGTGGCCTGTGGGGCTGGTGTCTTCATGTCTGTGCACCGGGCCCTGATCAGGGACATGTGGCCACAAGTGACAGCCACAGGAAGCCCGCTATTGCCTCCCCATGTGCTGCCCTGGGCAGCCCTGATGTCCCTTGTCTGTCTTCCCCAGGGGCTAAGCTAGAGAAAGGCCACGTGCTCTAGTGGACCCTGACCAGGCTCCTGCCACGCCAGGCCTGTGTCGGGGCTGTCGGAGCAGGGAGCTGCGGGGGCCGGGGCTGAGCCGGGGGGACAGCTTTCACTGGACCAGGGTCAAGGTTTTACAACAAGCAGGACTGAGGGGCCACTGTCTCAGAGACAGTGGGGTCTTCCTCAGGGAGGTGGGTGGGTGGGGCACTTGGGGGCAAAGCTTGGTAAAGTTGCTAGGGGAGAAAATAGCGCGGTGCATTCTCACGGCTAACCGGACAGCTGGTGGTGCCGCGGACCTGCCCCTTACCCAGGACCAGGGGCACGGCAGGTG